GGAGCAGGTGAGGGTCATGGCCGAAAACTGTCGGCACAGCAGTCATTTCCAACAGGAGCAGGTAGCAGAACTGAGCAGCGGATGAACTGCAATAAGGCCAGGCAATAAAAATATGCACAGTATACTAAGTCATAAAATATCAAAAAATGGTCATAGTGTATTAAGGCATAAAAATGTATATTATAGTAAGGCATAAAATGTCAAAAAAAACGTCATAGTTATATGAAGGCAATAAAAATGTCATAGTATACAAAAGCATAAAATATCATAAAACGTCATAGTATACTGAGGCATAAAACGTCAAAAAAAATGTCATAAGTATAGTAAGGCATAAAAACATCATTGTATAGTAAGGTATTAAAATATCATAAAAACTATCATAGTGTATTAAGGGCTTAAAAAAGTCATAGTATAGTAAGGCATAAAAATGGTCATGGTATTGTAAGGCACAACATGTAAAAAAAACGCAGAAAACAACTAGTTGTGTTGTTGTAAAGTTATTTAATTGGCAACTGTTCAATGAGTGAAGAGAGAGAGTTCTGGAGATGCTGTGGGGGGCGAAGAATCCTGGTTGTTTTAGGAGGAATGTGGAGGTGGGATTGGCTGGCGTGGAGCAGGTTAGGGTCATGGCTGAAACTGTTGGCTCAGCATCATTTCCAACAGGAACAGGCAGCAGAACTGGAGCAGGCATGGAACTGGCATAAGGCCAGGCATAAAAAATCATAGAATTAATAAGTTGTAAAAAAAATCAAAACTATAGTATTAAGGCAGTAAAAATGTCAGATTGTTATAGGAAGGTATGACAATATCATAAAAACATCATACTATACAAGGCATAAAACATCATAGTATAGTTAAAAGCATATAAAAAGTCACATTTGAAAGTTGATGTAGATCATTTTAAGCTATTTAGTGCTGAGATTACTGATCAGAAAAATACCTGATCTTCCAGCTTTTTAAATAATAGTAGCAGTTTTTTCCTCACACGTTTATATGGCGAACGATATAATCAACCTCGCCTGGTGTCGAATTAGGCGCTTTTAACTGCGCGCAGTGTGGCAAGACTGTATTAGATCACAACTCCAGCAAACTACACAAGACCCAACAGTTGATGAAGGTTTTCAAATAGAAAGAAGGGTGGGGCAGTCAGTTTGACGAGTACATTGTAAATAGTTCTTTAAAACTTTTTCAGCATCATGGAGTTCTTGCCCATGTGATCTCCAAGATGGTGTTGGATAGTGTTTTTCGAAGAGGACCTCTTGACCTCGAGGAGTTGAACTTCGGTTAATGTTAGCGGAGAGAAAAAAATTGTTTGGTGTTACTGTTTAACCTCTTTACCCCTTCCTGTTCAATTAAAGTTTTCATGAT